CCCTGGATCTGTTCCTGTCTAAACCTCACACTTTTTCCCTGTGCCATTCCACATTATTACAAATAACTTCATTTCTGGACATTTATGGTTTGATTTCTTTGTATGTATGGATCACTTGGGTTGTTACCAACATCTGGTGAAAATTTCATGTCATTAGCACCTCTAGTAATATATGTACTGAGAAAAATGGTGACGTGTTTAATACTTATTTTACCCGCTGTATGAGTGTAAAGCAGGAATTCAGCAGAACTGGTTCAGAGGGTTGGTGCATGAGTTATACGCTGTGGTCATTTTGTCTCGAGTACCGGTACCTGAAAATGTGAACAATCGAGAAAAACAAGAAAAACTGTAGAAGTTTAAGTTAAGTTTAGGTTAAAATTGTCATTTTTGACCCATCATGAGACCCACTTTGCATCCATCCTGGGCAGGCTTTCATTTCCTGTCACTGAACATGTAATCTGGTGCTACAGACAAGTGTGCGTCGTTATTGATTATGTCCAGCCAGTTATATCCTCACATCAAGTTGTGGAAGCATCTGAAATATTACAGATAACTAGGAAGTGACAGAGCTCAAGTTAGGAAAAATGTATTCTGTAGAGAGAAAAATAAAAGAATAAAAAGAATCAGAAACAGTTTTGCTTGAATTTTTGGCCTCCTGTTGGCTCTGCTCGATCACCTCACTGATGAGCAGTTTCCATTTTTAAAAACTGGCAACAGCAAACACCAGACCTACACTTGGCGCTGGAGTTAATGTAGGTAAATGAGATTCCTCTGAACTCGGCTGTAGTGGGAGCAGAGAGCCCCCTGCCACCTCTGAGGCTCCACCACACAAAACCACCAGGTCTCTATTGTGCCTTTCGTCGTTAGCAACTTGCCTACTTTGACCCAGTCACTGGGTTCACATGTGTGAGCATCGTCTCGAAAGTGGAAGTTTGGGTTGTTTTTCCTGTTCTAGAGCTTTCAGGTGTGTGTCAACGTCTAACAAAGGAGGGGAAACATTATTCTCTAGGTATTCTGAGTGTTCTTTTTGCTTCTTCAGTTTGTTTGAGTTAGATAGAAAAATACCCGTCACTTCTCATGTGGTCTGTTTCCTCTGAGGTTGTAGTTACTAATTTAGAAATCTTAAAACTGAAAGAGGATTATCGGACTGACTGCATCACGTATTATGTCAAATATTTTCTTTTCCCGATCATCTTATCAGAACATGAGCACTTACTGCAAGATGTGATATTAAACTAGAATGTAAACAGATTAGTTTGATGTCTGGAAGCGGGTGAAAAACGGCCAAATGTTTGCAGTCACTGCGGCCTCCGCTAGGTTTAAATCCGAGTGATGGATTTGATGGCTTTGTAATGTTGACCGCTTTGTTCCTTGGAAAAATTGTGTTAGGGTGATGTGTAATCCTTCCAGGAATGCTCAGCCTTTATTTGGAACCTGTTTGGAATGATTTCATCATCATTTTGAAGTTCCCATGTTTTAATCTAAAGGCATTTAATGCGAGGGTTAAGCGAAGGAGTGACGGCGGTTTAGGGAAATAAAAACAAGTCATTGCAATGTTTTCTGAAGCAACAGAAGTGTGGCTGCATGTGATATTTGAGAGGAAGTGGAAGTTACGTTCATGTGGCCTTATCTTTTGTTTTCCAAATGAGTCACAAGAATTGAATAAGACTAGACCGAAATTTTGTTAAAATACCCAACGTGAAACAAACTCATCCACCTCTCATTCCACAAGGTACAGCTGCATCTACTTACTGAGATGTATATTACAATTTGTAGATTTTTTGCAGGTATATCAGATCAACTAAATACCAGGAAATGTGAATTAAACATGTAGTGATTAATACCCACGCTCCCCTTGACATTAATTTTGACAAATGTCTGTAGGACGTGAGCAATTTAATGATGAAATTTACTGGATTATTTTTTTCCAAGAGTGTCATTACTAATGTAAACGTACAAAGGTTGTCTGCTGAGAACATCTGTGCATATTTCTCAACCGTGAAACTTTTTCTGCTCGTCCTGGAATGTTTATCGCCGAAGCCCGCCTTCATTCTTTTCTTCCTTCTGCTGTTCTTTTGATTAGACGAGAGGATTTGCTCTCCTCCATTCATGGTCCTGAACACGGAGTGCAGCCCAGATGTTCTGGAGCAAATCAAGAGGCAAGGTCTCACATTCCCCTTCAGTGAGTATCTCTACTGAAAGTCTTCATTTTCTTTTTTGTTGTTGTTGTTAAATGACATCTAGTGCTTTTTACAGATCTTTTATTTATGACTCAAGTAGATTGTTAACTAGCTGACGTTTTGTTTTTATTGTGTTTTAGTTTGTAAAACACGGGTGGCTCATGGCACCAACTCGCATGAGGTGAGAGGCTGCAGAGATCGCTCACACCCTGCACCGTTTTACTGTTTCTGTCATCAAGTCCAAAACATTAAAATCAGGTCACGTGTTAATTTGTGCTTTTGTTCCGTTTGCAGATGGCAATCATCTTCAGCGAAGAAGATCTGAAGGATGTGAAGCCTCCGTGTGTGATCCAGAGCTTCATCAACCACAATGCGGTCCTCTACAAGGTGTTTGTGGTGGGAGACTCTTACACTGTGGTGGAGAGACCCTCCCTGAAGAACTTCCCCTCTGGACCGGCAGGTGAGCAGGACACGACGAGTCCAAAGGCCGTTAACAGCCGCCCTGATCTGCCTGTACAGTCTGCACAGCTTGTTCAAATTACCCAATAAAAGACCTCATAAAAAGGCTTTATAGGCCCTGCGATCGGACCTCTTTGCCCTTTTAAGGGGTGAAGCAGACTGCAGTCGAGTTGTATCCTGTCTGTGCATGCTGTTGAAAGGCCTTTCCTCATGAGCAGCAGCTTCACCAGTGATGTTTTGAATACAGGGCTTTGCCATGTCACCGAAGACACCAGCATTTGCATGTGTTACAGTAGAGGTCCTCATGCAAACCAGTTTCATCATCAGTGTAGTAGACTGCTCTGTGAGCCTGTGCAGAGAGAACAGTTGCTTTCAGACTGGAATGCGGAGGGGTAAGACAGGACAATTTGGCCCTTTTCTTTTTTTTTCAAACACTAAAAGCAGCACACAACAGCAGCAAAAACCTCACGGGGCTCAAATCTTTGTTCTTTGCAGCGTTAAGCATTTTGTGCCTAGACAGGAGTGGCAAAGGATGCATCGAAGAGAAACAGGTTAGACTTCGGCAAGAATTTGGTGACGGTCTTTACGTGCAGCCTCTCTTCCGCTGTTCCTCTTCCTGAGTTCAAACTTCAATTGTATTCATCAATCGTGGCAGTGAACGATCTGGTGTGACGTGCTGCGTCCACAACAGACGCCGTGCTGAGAGGCACTTTTATTTGGGCAATGATTGAGTTTAATTTCCCCTCATCTCTTTTATTTTCTCTGACACACTCTGGTATTTTTGTCTGTGGAATGAAAATAAAGAAAAGAAGAAACGAATCAACCCAATCGACCCTGGCGCATTTATCTGTCTTTTAAAGGTTATTATACCAGGTATTTAAATCAAGTAACAATCACGTTCTGTTATTGCAATGATTATTTTAACTCTTTGTAAGCAGTTGAGCTTTGCTGCCACCTACCGTCCATGATTGGAACTGTGTTTAGAGATGCTAAAACAAAAAATTTTACTGCCTCACTGTTTTCTTTTGTTCCGGTTTCAGACAGGAAGGCCATTTTCTTCAACAGTCACAATGTTTCCAAACCAGAATCGTCCTCAGACTTGACCTCGGTATGTCCAGGATTTCAACCAGTAAAGTTTTTTTTTGTTTGTTTTATTAATGAGTTTGATGGTAAACCACCTTTCTAATATATCAGAGAGAAAACGTCGAGGGGGTGTCTCAGCCACCCAATGATGACGTCATCAGGGAGCTGTCCAGGTCGTTGCGACAGGCGCTGGGCGTGTCTCTGTTCGGCATCGATGTGATCATCAACAACCAAACAGGACAACACGCGGTCATTGATATCAATGCATTCCCTGGTATGTTTGGTGAATTCTCACTTGGCTTTACTTTTATTTCCATTTTTCTGAAATAATCTTGAGGTTCTCTCCTGTGCTTCCAGGTTATGAGGGCGTCCCGGAGTTTTTCAACGACCTGCTGAACCACATAAGCAGCGTGCTCCAGAGCCACAACCCTGACTTTGTCCCCGCCGGCGAGCAGCCCAAAGGCCTGCCGGTGAGCCCCACGGTGCCCAGCTCCACCCCGCCGTCGTCGGGCGGCTGCTGCAGCAGCAGCATGCGGGGCAAAGAGCTGCAGAGACTGGGCTGCAACTCGGCCGTGTCTCCAAACTTTCAGCAGCACTGCGTCTCCACGATAGCTACCAAGGCTTCCTCCCAGTGACTCCACCCCACCCCCCTCTCCTCTTCTCGGCTTAATGCCCGAACAAACCGATTAACGTGGTGATGAAAATAATAATAATGATTAATAATAATCAAATTAAATATGATGTTAATATGTATCTAATCAGAAATAAGCATTTTTCCTATATAGTTACTGAAAATATTGGTGATTGGGTGTAAGCTTTTTTTTTCTCTCTACCTTTTTTGTGTTTTTGTTTTGTCTAATGAGACTTTAACAGTACTGTAATGTGAACTCTTGGGAAATCTCCCCTAACAGCTGATTTTTTCTTTTTTTTTTCTCTTGTGTGAGATTTCTGTCATAAAAAGGGTCCAGATGAGGTAGCTAATTTAAAGATTATATATTAATCCAGACTTGAGAAAGCCTCACCACTAAATGTGCAATGTACGACTCACACCAAAACATTTCCACGCAGGCAGATTTCCGCTGTGACAAACCGCGCCGGTGAGGCGTGTTTGTGTTCTGGTTGAAACCACTGATGGCGCCGGGGAAGTCGGGGCGGCGAAGGCGGCCGKGGCATTTTGAAGGGGACTCCGCAGATCTCAGGCCGAAGACATCGGGATCAGATCGTTTCAGAGCAAACACGAGCTGTTTTATTTTTCTAAGTGCCATCAATTTTACCTTGTAAAAAAAACTATTTTCAACAGTTTAAATTGGAGGGAAAAAAGGAGAATCTTTGACCAAGTTTGGTTTAATTTTTGCTGCTTTCACATGTTCAAATCTTTGTTTTTGTCAGGTGCCAGACGTTTGCTGTCCAGCAAACAAACATCCTTTTGGTTTTAGTTTGAGGATCACATTCCCCTTCTTTCTTTCTTTTTTTCTTTCTGTTTTTTGAAGAAATCGCACAATTTTTTTTTTTTTAATATTCCAGTTAGGATTTACTGAAACTTCTCACATCCCCTCACGAGTTTGTCTTCTTAAACAGAGCATCTTTCAGATTTTAAATCTCTAATACAATGAGGCAAACTTAATTAACAAATCCAGAGCTGCTGAAGAACTTGTCACCTTTTTTGAATAAAGTTTTTGTAAGAAATGCGTAGGTTGTTTAAGAACACCCACAGAAGCCGCCTGTTGAACAATGTTGTGATCATTATGTAAATGTTCACACTAAAGCACTTCCTGTTCATCAAGTCAACAGTAAAGTGGGTTTATTCGCTTTGAGCTCAGATCTTTGACCCGTTTTCTCTTCCAGCTGCTGTATTTGTCACTTTTTGAAAAAAAAAAGTGGAAGGAGGTCCAGCTCTTGTTCCGTGTTCACTGTGAGATTTTTTTTTTTACTTCAATTTAATACTTTAAGTCTTGAACATCTATAAAGAGTAACTTTATTTTTAATGAGATTTTATGGGGGGAAATGTTTTATATAAATGATATTGAAGCCGTGCTGTTTTTGGAACCAGTGGATATTTTACTGGATGGATGGTAAAGTGGGTGGTTAACAGGACGAACAAGCTTGTGAATCTAAAGGAGTATCAGCCTTCTGTTTATACAGATTATATTTCTCTGAGCCTGCTTCTCTCCCCTATAATCCCATTGTCTTTTTTTTATTACATCCTTAAAGGACAATTAATTCTGAATTATAAATATGACTGTGGGAACTCTACCCTACTCTTTTTCCACCTAAAATCACCTATTTTACATGAGGCTAAACTTGACAGCAGGTTCAGAATTTGGGCATGTTTAGATTTGAAGGCTGGTGTCTCTGCACACCACTATCCTGTGTCCTTTCTTCTTCTAAACGGTTAAATATTCTTACCAGTGGAAATTTGCAACCCAGACAGTGTCGTTTCCAGCTTCCACCTGAATGTTTACTTCTTGGGTGTCTTGTAAAATGTTTATATGCGCCTAGGCTTGCATCCATCCATCCGTACAGTATGTTTTGTATAAGTTCTGTAATTAAGAATTCACAATTTGGCCCTTTTTTTAATTAAAAGGGCAAATTCATTCAAAAATAAACATGTAAAACCTCCTTTGTTCTAAATCATACTGTGTATTTAGCATTTTTATATGTTTAAATTTAATTTCATCATTTAAAAAAAAATACAAAAACAGGTGCTGCTTTTCACCACCCAGCCTCTAGATGTTTATTATATTCACATCCATCAGTTGCACAGTTCATATGAAAATGGTAGAAAAAAACTTAACAGCTATTTTAGACACTRTACAAAATCAGTAATAAAAATAAAACTCTTTTCATAATCCTCTGTACATGTAAAAACCGACCAACACACATAGAAGGAATATTTACAGGGACGGCAGACAAATGAGATCACAAAGGCTAATGCTATTTTCTATTCTCTTCAAGTGTTTAATGAGTTGGCAGGTAACGAGCCGGTCGATTCGCCAACAGTCCAAGAATCGTGGAGAGACAGTGCAGCTTCTCTTTGACGTGCTCTGGCAGCTTCTCGTTCTCTTTATACCTGTGGAGAGCAGGGAACACGTCGGTAATAACCCCACTGATGAAATCATTTACTGAGCTGAGCSACAAATCTGTGATCTCTAACCTGGTTATCCTCCCATCTGGAGACGTGTACGTGATGCAGGAAACTCCTGCCTGAACCACCAGCTGAGAGCCGTCATTAAACTGCACCCACACCTCCCCACTCGTCAGCTTCGGGAGAAAAATTAAAACGAATCCAGTCAACGTGTAAGAAATAAAATCAGTTTATAACAGTAAAGTGAGGTTAAATTGTTGATYCGGTACCTGAGATGCCCATCCAACGTTGGGCACAAATATGGATTTCACCACCTTCCCTGAGCTCTGAGCCACGTCCTGCTGTTGTGGAGAGCATTTCTTACTCAGGCTGGCTGTAGTGAAATCAGACCCATCATAGGAAATCATCTGGAAACAACAGTTCATGTTATCAAATTAAAAACAAACTCCAAATAAATCCAACTTCATAGAATTTGATGTGAGCATTTGAACACATTTGTTTCTCTGCATTTTGTAGCATCCACAGAGAGCCGCTTCCACGTTCTAAGTTTATTAATAGTATCTGCACTCGCTCACTGCGGCTCCTGTGGGCTGAGACACTCACTGAAGGAGTGATCTGTGGAGGTTTAGGAGGTGAAGCTGCGTCAGGAGGCACCTGCTGCGATGACACCGGCACCGAGGATGGAGAGTCTGAGCTGGCAGGTCTCCTGTGAAGAAAAGGAAGACGACGTGACGACGTGTTTATTAAAAGTGAAGAAATAAACAGGACGAAAGAAACGCAGCGTGAAAGCTTGAGTGCTGCGATTTGCAACAGCAGACTAAAAGACGTGAAAATAAACAGATGCAGAAGGACAATTTGAGATTATAAAGACAAAAAGGATGCATCATTATTCATACCTCATTATGTGTATAAACTGTATATGTTGCTGTTGTCCTACATATATATGTTTCTATAATAAACTGTCAGTTCAGTTTCATTGTACAGGTTTGTGCCATTATAACAAAGATTATTCTAKCTATTAAAAAAAGATATTTAGGAGACATAAAGACAAAAAGGATGCTTCAGGAAACAAAAAAATGATGCCTAAAAAACATTAAATGACAAAAAAAAAAAAGACAACTGAACCGAATTTGTTAGGAGCAGATTTTAAAAAGGCTTTGCAATCATGAAAAAAGTCAATAAAGTTTAATATTTTAAAAAGTATAGCAACTACAAAAAAAAAAGCCATAGCTGTAATGTCCTGAACAAACTGAGCGTTTTCATAGACATATGGTTGAAAGAGTTGAGTAGAAACTGAACATGAAAAGTCATCCAAATTATTATATATATTTTAAATTATTATTATTATTATTATTATGACACAAAAAAGGGTGTGTGTTCTCTCACCTGCCAATAGTTATGGGGAAGAAAGGGATTTTGTTGGCGCTCCGCTGCTCCTCTGCTGCGATGGCGGCCTCTAGTGACAAACACATGCTATGGCCCTCATCAGATAACTCCACATAGATCCTGCTCTCTGGACTCAGGCCGCTCAGCCCCACCTCTCCCTTCACGGTGTACGACTTCCCGCTCTTCTCCACGACTCGCAACAGCTCGGAGGTTTTGTGGGTTTTTGCTCCTATATGATACACACAAAAAAGTGTCAGTCAGTTCAGACTTTTTTTTTTTGTAATCCCTTTTTTATGCACTTCTGACTCACCATCGTAAAAACAAACTTCAAGGTCTGCATTGGGCGAGTTTTCCATCAGCATCACTTTAGCATATTTAGTATAAAGTGTCACTTTAGGAGTCTTGGATTTCACAAGCTGCACAAACTTGGAGGCATATTGGTACTTTTTCCAGTATTTCTCTGAGGGGGGGAAAATTATTCAGGTATAATTGCTTATTTTAAATCAGCTGACATTTCTGAGTGTGACACGTTCGTCTAAAATACCTGGAAGGTCCTCATAGCTGCAGATGAGAATATCTTCTGGTGGAGCTGGAGGGCAGTCCAGGACAGGAAAACCCTTTCCATCATTTGGCTGGTAGATCGTCACCTGGAATAAAACATTAAAGGCACAACTCAAAGGTTATGCATTACATTAGATCTAGTCCCTGTTTGTTGACTTCCTGCATGTTTTTCTAACTGCACAATAGTAATACTGTACTACCATTGAACCATCACTGGAAATCCGTAGGACTTCTTTGACTCGTTCTTGCCCAGTTTGGGATTTTAACAACTCCATGCACACTTCACCCGTATCCAAGATGCTGACCTGCAAGATACAGAAATAACTAAATTAAGCATTTATAAGCATCTCAACAGCTTTAACAAAAACAACGCACGCAAAATCTTACAACTGCATTTTTGGTCTTCTGTCTGATCGGTTTGAGTCTGGATGCACACAGAGGTGGGATTATGTCCCGCAGTGTTTTCTTCTTGTTGTCGGCGCTGGGTTTGTATGGAGGAAGCTTCAACTCCTTGCCGTGAAGAGGCTGGAACTCTGCTCYGGGTGAGTTCTCCCTGTATGAGTCGGGGTTGGAGGGAAGCTGGTTGTGCAGGTGGTGCTGGTTGTGGTGAGGGGGCACGCCTCGGCCCATGGGCTCCGACCAGGAACTGTGAACTGCTAAAGGGCCTCTGCTGCCATGGAAGCTGCCGCTGCTGCTGTGAGTGCTGCCGTCTGTGGGCCTCTGTCCCAGAGCTGGGAAAAATATTGTTAAATTGTCAAGCTAACAAGCAGTTTAACACAAAAAATAGAAAAAATATTAAAAAAAACACTTACTTTCATTTTTAAGCCAGTTAGAAACTCCTTCCATGTCCTGAAATTGTAAGTTTGGAGGATGCATCATCTCCGTTGCTGATAAATAGCCAGAACTAAAACAAAAATATAAGTATAATTAGTCTTACTAGTAAGTATAAATATACATATAAGTATATAAAAATCCTAAACAAACACTTCTTACTTTGCAGATTGTTTGACAGGAGGGGAGGGCAGCCTGCCGTGCTCTGAGAATGTTTGTGGAGTGGAAGAGGTGGGGAAGACAGGAAGTCCTACGCTGGCCAGGGTCTCCTCTGAATGACATCGCCCCAGCTCAGCCTGCGATGAACTCTGTCCCGCCGAGGCAGAACTGCAGCGGTCCGATGAATGAGCCCGCCTCAGGAAGCGGGAATGAGGCTGTCCATCCTCTCCGTCATAAACAGCTCTGCCCCTGCCATCTCTGTAAAAACTGTCAAGGCCGTGCCTTCGGTGCCGCTGCTCTCCCTCCTCGAAGCGGGCGTCGCCGGGCTGCTGTGGAAGACACGGCGTCATGCGACTGGGCAGAGCCGAACCGATCACGTGCTTAGTTCGCCTTTGGAGTCGGGTGCCACTGCTGGCCGAGGACGAGGAGGTGCAAGCTGTGGAGATGGTAGCGATGCCGCTGTCTATGGACCCGTCGTCCCCCAGCCTCAGCTCTTTGGTCCTGACCAGTGGACTCTGGGTCAAGAACGGGTGGTCCAGCACYGCAGAGAGGCTGGGCCGCAGGGCGGGATCTCTCTGCAGCAACTGGTGGATCAAGTCCTGAGCTTCTAAAGAAACGTGGGTCGGCATTTCGTAGTCCCCAAGCACTACTTTGGACAAAGTGTGCTTGACTGTGTCCGTGTCGAACGGGGGGCGACCCATCAGGAAGGCGTAGAACATGCACCCCAGTGACCAGACGTCCGACTCCAGGCCGTGCGCGCTGCGGGTCGCCACCTCAGGGGAGATGTAGTTGGGCGTCCCACACATGGTGAAGTGCTTTTCATTCGGCAGCTTGAGCTGGGTGGCGAGGCCGAAATCGGCGATCTTAATGTTCATGTTGCTCGTCAGCAGGAGATTGGACAGGGTCAGATCACGGTGCAGGATGCCATGAGTGTGCAAATACAGCATTCCTTTCATTATCTGATGCATGAAATGTCTCGCTGTGGAACAAAAAAAAAATCATCAAAGTAAAAAAAAGTATTAAAGGCAAACCAGCCACAAAGCTTCAAAATGACATTTCTTTATAGCTTTTAAAACATATTTAAGTCTGACCTTCATCCTCGGAGAAAGGTTTCTTTCGCTCTTTAAGGTACCGACTCATTTCTCCATTGTGGCACATCTCCAACACCAAATACACATAGTTGCTGTCCTCAAAGTAGTTGTAGAGCTTTAAAAACACATTATGCACAATAAATCCAAACTCTAAATACATGCATCTAGATTCTAGCTTATGTGAAGYTATTCAAAAATGCTCAAACAATAAATTAAATATTAAAAGTAAAAAAAAAACATGGTGGTGACAAATAAACTAAAGAAACACTCTAGTATTCAATCTTTATTAGTGAATCCAGTAGATTATAAAATGAGCTCTGACTCTTTGTTATCATACGCCCAGTTAACATCAGTTAATGATTGTGTTAGATATGAGATCAATCCACATTGGCTATATGATGATGATATGGATCAATGTTTTCCTTTTGCCTTGATATAATCAAATCATTAATCACTAAATCAAAAATATCAATGAGGATCAATGTATTGTTAAACCCCTACAACAAACCCAGTGTAGTTACTACAARACAGTGTGTAATAACACAACAACAGCAGCTGTTTGCCAAMGTTACCTCGAGTATAGAAGGATGTTTGAGTCTGCAGTGAATCTCCACCTCATTAGTCACACGCTGAACCATACCAGCTTTGTGCATGGCTTTTTTGTCGATCTGCAGATGGGAACGAGACATAATTATACCCCTGCTTCCCGTAGGATCATCATGCAAAACAAGACAATAATACTGCAGCGTGTTTGGATCCGTTAAGTCAATCTGTTTGACATAAGGACAGTGAGTGAACTACTGGTTTTGTGGTGTWGAGGGACCACAAAAAGCCCAAGGGAGGTACATACGGTGTAATAACCCAACAGCTCTAGCTTATGCTTCAACTGTCCACTACAGACAACAGCTTGAGAGTTTATCAATATGTCTATGTATTTAAGACAAAGCAGCAAGAAAAAAAAAAAATATTCTTACCATTTTGATAGCAACCTCCACACCGGTCTTGACTGATTTTGCCCGGTAGACACACGCAAAGGAGCCTTTGCCAAGGAGGGTGAGGACCTTAAAATCCTGAAAGCGCAGAAACACAAACAAGCACAGAGCATTACCTTCAGCTGATCATTCCTCCCTCGATCCTCTGAGGCAGGATCTTTAACAACAGATACCTCAATCCTGAGCTCTTCGGTGTTTGAGAGCCTTTCCTTCTCATCTCTGCTGGCCCAGTTGTCAGCAGAGATGTTTTGAAATAAATASTGCAGAATCTGATCAAACATCTTCCCTCTAGCCTGCGACATAACTGGATGTTTATKAGAACAATCCAGTCCACTGAAGACATCAGAAGGGGTGTGAGATCACAGCACAACAGAACAGTAACTGTCAGACAAGCTATGAGCAACCTGACGCTATCATCAACCAACCAAAACCTCTAATTATCCCGGCATCACTCCCGCTGATGGGGACGCCGTTTCCAAGCACCATGGTGAGCTTCAAACTGATGCACAGACGTCCCAAAGGAGYCTGGGAGTTTCACACCCGGGAAAAAAACATGGAGGCTAGGTTAGACATGATGTTCTGAAATAATTTAGTTAAAACCCATTAGCTAGCAAGTATGGGCATGTGTAACATTATTGCAAAAACAGCTTTTCCTTTTTTATCATCTCCACAGCTCATTGTAGACATTTTATAATGATAAATCTTTTAACTGTATCTGAATTGCTTCTCTAAATGCTTCTCTGCAGCCATAAATACAGTCAACGTAACAGAAGGCTAATGCTGCCACCCCGAGTCAACGTTAGCTTGTGGGCATTAGCCTAACAAGGAGCTCACCTCAATTTTGTCGCCGATTGAGAGGCTCATCGTGCCGGGTTTGGGTCTCGCAGATGCATGCAGACTTGTAAAAATATTCCACTGTCGTCAAGGTGCACGGAGAGCTGATGGAAATATCATCAGGGCGTAAATACACGTAGTTCATCAATTCCCCTCCAAAACTTTGCCATTTCTTCCATTTTGAAAATATCCGCCCGTTACTCCGTGGCAGCGTAACGTGCTACGTCACTCAACAACAACCGAGAAGCCGCGCCCCTTTTTAAAGGAGCCGTGCACAATTAGAAAACCTTGTAAATAAAATGTTTTATTTATGTGTTTTCATTTTTGTTCAGTTGGAAAGCTTTGGCAAACTTTTATTTATAGAATTTAGCCTACATAATGTGAATCATAAACAGATGTGTTTTTGTGTTAAAAGGCTTTAGGTGCTTTTCATCTTTTTCAATTTTTTTTGTTTTGTAAGCAACAAATCTGCCTCATATACTGTATTAATTGTGTAATTAGACATCAAAATTATAGTAACATCCTGTTTTTGTTGGTGTTTTGTTTTTTAACAGCTCTATTGACATTCCAAGAACACATCTAGACCTAGTTGTGATCAGTTTCTTCCAAGTTTAAGATTTTTTTTGTCTAATAGACAAAAATGCAAGAAAGCTGATTTAAAAATGCTCATTAAATGAAAAAAAATGGCATTTTAAGTACTTCAAATTTAACATTAGAAAAGCACTCTTTATTTAGGATGCTTTTATTTACTAAAATAATATTTACCGTACAAGTTCTAAACATAGGCATCAATTCATTAAATACAAGTACACATACTGTATATTACTTGGATTACTGAGTATTGTTCCTGCTGAAGCAATTGTTTAAATATTACTATTTATAAGAACTGATGTTACTAGATGCTCAAAAACAATTTTAATTGTATACACAAAGCATACCTTTCTAGTACAAAGGAATCAGCCTCATGTCACAATCAGAATYGAATAAATAGCAAAATTCTTTAGTATCATCGGTTTGTCAGACCTTGAGAGAATAACCCACAGCACAGTCACACATAGGAATGATACGGTGAAATTAAAATTCTCTGAAGGTAAAGTCCACTGGAAAATGACAAAAACAAATCCACTGAAAAGGCTGGTGAGAACTGAGAAATCGTCCCAGGTATTTTTATTATTTTTTCTTGTTTTGCTACAGTCTAAATTTTGAATGATGGTGACGCAGTGATGAGTTTGCTTCTTAGAGGCCGGTCTTTAGTCCACTTCCATCTCTTTTGTGCCAGGCTTTGTGTGCTGGCTTTCCCTTGCTTCCCCCTGCCCGTCTGCTTCATGTTTAGATGTTGGATTGTTGTGAGTGCCACTGTTTTGGTCGTTCACTTCAGGGGGCTCCTCCACTGTGGGCTTTCGTCTATTGATCACTGGGTTACAAACACCTTCCAGCTCCTGGTTTGGAAATAAAGCAAAATGAGCACTTTTAAAACCTCATTAAAGTGCCCATGTCATCATTTTTTTGTAATAATTGTGAATGCTTTTTTTTTTTTTGGAAAAATAACATTGATAACATTTTACAAAAATATTTGCATCACTGAGATGAACAGTTGTTGAGATATTCGCATGTACAGGAACAACAGGAAGTGATGCCAAAGGGGAATGTCTGCATGTGAACAGAGCGTTGCTACAACGGCAGACAACACAGACTGTAGAGACAAATCTGATTTTAGAAAGAGTTCAAATAATATTGTTCCAATAAAAAAAGACCAGGGAGTTTTTTTGTTAAAGAGTTCCCCTTTGATGTCACTTCCTTTTTTACTTTGGCTGAGCCAAGTTCAGAAGAAAATACGCCAATTATGTGACAAAATTGGTAAAATCATGTTTATGTCAAGTTTCTTAAATACAAAGATGTTTTTTTTTTACTTTTTGTATTTGAGTTATTTGCCCTTTAATGAACAATTACATGATTAATAGACGTTCACATACCTGGATTTTTGCAATGATGTCTGCTACTTTAACCACTGGGTCTTGAGTTATTGCAAGTTTGCTCTGAGCATTCATCTTGTTGTTCATCCAGCCCATGCTTTCACTCAAACACTTCTCTACACTGCTTACTTCATCTGGACCCAAATGCGCAAAACGCTCATCCTGAAAAAGACGAGGAAGAAAAAAGCGTCGAAGAATCTTGGTTAAAATTTGATTTATAACCAACTCAAGACATTTACATCCACTTTCAATTAAATCCAGCACCCAAAAAGTATCAAAAACATTTACGAAAATAAATATACCATTTCCAGGTAATACAAAATTTATAACATTATGATTCACAGTGGGAACCTCTTAAAAGGGGCATGATGCAAATTTCCCTCATCAAAAACATACTAAGTAAGTGTTGCTTTCACTCTTTCATGCATGTTTGAGAAATCCTTGAATCTCCCGTGGTAGTCGTGTGGAGCTGCCTAAATGTTTGCTGGTACAAAGCTCCGCCTATTTACCCAAAGCTCCTCCCTGGAGCTCAATCAACAGCTGAGCTCCCGCCCCACAGAGCACCCCTCTCCCATGGCAGGACGATTTCAAGGCGTTTAGATGGGCAAGTCAAATGTATCTTCAATATACAGTTTCTTCATAACAACTGAAGGTAACAGTTACTTGACTGTGGTATAGAATTGAACCATGTGCCTGGAAAATACATGGGTAATTTGAGAATGTACCTTCTGTCTGTAGGAATCTATAAACTTCATGTAGAGCTGCAGTTTCTTTCCCAGCTCTTCAAACGCTCTCGGCCTGTCTTCACTCTCTCTGTGCCGGTCCTGAATGGGCTGACCGAACCTCTGGAAAGTCACAACATTTATTATGAAYGAGTAATCCCTCTTTGAAGACGTAGATTTCCTCATGTTTGTAATACATGGATGAAGAGGAACCTTGAGTGCTCCCAGCTTCTCCTCGTAGACTTGTTTAGGCTGGTCCTCTCCTTCCTCGTACAGCCAGTTCTCTGTGTCCTCCAGCATCATTGTCAGATGGTTACTGTCCTGTTAGAGATACACAGACACCAGACAAATCACAAGCTTGGTAAATCATCTCRGAGTTGTTTTTATTACATCAGAGTTGCTGTTCTTGTTGAGCCGCGTAATAAAAAGTTACCTCTTCGGTGATGTACTTCTGATAAATCCCAGAGAGTTTTTCCCGTAGATCATAAACATATTCCTCCACAGCRTTTTTGGAATCATTCACCTCTTTCACCAGTTTGTCCTGGCTGATCATTTGACGCTGCGAGATAAAAGAAAAACAAGAAAAACATACAAGTTAAGCTCATATAACCTTCACAGGTATATAAAATGAGTTTAGAGTTGTGGCTTTAATCACAAAATCACAACATCTGAATCATGAAGTGTCAGTTTGAYAATAAGGTCTGGTGTTCAGAGACCAGCGGCAGCTCTCACCTCGTACTCCACAAAGTTGATGAGAACATCACTGTCCAGCTGCCGGACGTTGTTGGCCACAATGGGAAGATCGATGCTCTTCACTTTGACTTTTGGCTTGCTTCCTCCTGCTGATGGATCCTGCATTTCTGCAGCTGCACCTTCCTGAAACAAGGAAGCAAACAGCACTGAGTTTGAATACGAGTCTGCAAATGTTTGCTCTGTACAAACCAAACACAGATGCTATGAATCTGTAAGATTGGTGTCTGTTTAAACATGTTTATAAAAAAAACACACTGACTTTATATTGTTTTGCTTTGTTCTCTTAAAAGAAACCCAACTAACCTTAGTTGGGTCCTCGTTCTGCTGGCTCCCCTGGCTTTGACCTTCCTGGTCCACCTGCATTTTGGTCTAAATCACAACACATTTGATATTTTATACAGATTAAATTACATTTTTAATATTTCAGTGGAATTAAAAGCGCATTTCTGGCTGTTAATGAACATAGAATTTCTTTCATAGCTGTTATGGAAATATTTATTTAACAAAGACAGAAATACGTGGTCCAAGAATGTAGGTACTCCATGGAAATGATCAGCTGAGTTTTATTGCAACAACAGGAACACAGAGAACAACATAGACTGTCCCCCTGCTCTCTGGTCCTGCTTCTCTTGCTTCTGCTGCAGTTGAGGAAGTTGAGGCCTCATATACTGTATATTGTTTAACAAACACTATTATGTCATCTTAATAACCTAAGGAAATACTGGGTCAAGGGAAAACACAAAGATAAACACAAGTGATATCTAAGAATGATTGTTTAGCAAATCTTGTTCTGACTTTAATCATTCTATCTACTGATAAACAGCATGTCATGAAAACTTAGGTCATTAAAGTATGTCATGAATTACTGGCTTAAACCTAAAAGTATTAGTTCCAYCACAATATCCTTAAATTGTTTAAATATAAGCTGTGTAAACATCTGCACTGCAGGTTGAATTACCTGAAATGCAAAGATTTGCAGTCTGAATATAATCAGATTTAGGTTGTATTCACACCTGACACATTGTGTCCACTTTAAATGGACCAGAGTTTGTTTTGGTCCGGACCTTTTACACAGGCACTTATGCAAACCCTGGTGTGGATCAAACAACCGGTCTGAGACCCATTTTTGAAGTGGTCTCGGTCAGTTTACATACAAACTCTGGTGCAGTTCGCTTCTAGTGTGAATACAAACTGGCCTGGAACCAAACAAACGACGTGCCTTTTTGGACTTCACGAGTTTATTT